GAAGAAGAAGAAGAAGAAGAAGAAGAAGAAGAAGAAGAAGAAGAAGAGAGGAGGAGGCAGCCATGCCTACTCAGTCACATGGCCACTCCCACCTAGCCAACCCCACAGAACCGATAGTAAAAATATTTGCATCCCATCCCTGGACAGGACATGGACTTTATGCAAAAATATATTTTGTACTTGCCCTCCATGGGAAGGAGTAGCATACATCCTGGTGAAAGGAAAATTAATTAATTGATAGGTTGATTGATAGGTTTATATATGACATATATTTGTTTACAATAGGATCGAGTAGCTGGGTATACCTGGTCTTTTTTCAAACACCATGAACTACTCTAAAAACTCATTATTTACATGTACGATTGGAGGGAATCTAGGCAAGAAATTGTACCAAATCATGTGGGATAGATGTGGAACTCTGTCAAACTCTTCCATTTACATCAATATTACTTAAAAGTTTGAAATTCTGCTGGATCATATACTTCTTAAAACATCTCAAAAATTCATGTAGATTATCAAAATATTACAAATAAGCCCTCCTATGTTATGCTGCAATATTGATCCTGCCCCCCAAGATATGGCTGTTGAAGTTGTATACTTTACATGATCTTTTTTATCCGACATAAGTATATGGATTTTTCACTTAGGAAGGAATTATTTAATGTTATAAAGCATATGTTGGTCTCAAGAGTCAGGTGATTTTTAAACCAATAATTAATGGTAAGAGGTCAACCCTAAACATAATTTATATATAAATCTGAGAGAATAAAAAAAATGGCATAATACTAAGCATGGGCCTACCTGTTCTATTTCTAGCTTGATTAGGAAACTTATCTCATTATTTAATTAATAATGATTGGGATATCTTAACTAATAAGATACAAGTCTGTAACAAATAATAGACAAAATTAATAGAAAGATGAGGCATGTTATAGGGTATTATTGTTCATCTCCTTTGAGGTGGATGTTTTTCTGAATGTACCTCTATATTTAAATGTGGAATCTCTGAATATATATAAAAAATTCACAACTATTATAAATTATTGGTGCTATGACCATTTTGGGAAACTATTGTTGCTGGTGTTGAACAAGTACACCTTCACTTAGTAATAAAGGAGAAACAAATTTGAACCTGAATGTCACATCAATCCCACTTAGCCTCTTCATTTTATCCATGCACTTATTTATTCCTTGTGGTGGTATATATCTTACCTGGTTACTTATATATTTTTTTAAAAAGTCTTTTTCTAGGAAGAAGAAAAACTCAGCAATGGCTTCTGCTTTCAGTGTTTGTCTGAATGATTTTGATTCTACCTGAAGTAAAGATGAGAGCTAATCTGAGAACAAGAGAGAAAGGTGCAGTTTTCCTGATTAAACTCTGTTTTATACTTCCTATTCACGTGCACTACTTTTTGATGAACTTTTCTCTGTTGGATATTTGTTCCATCACAGCAGTTGTTCCCCAAATGCTGAGAAATTTAATGGAAGAAAAAAAGTCTGTATCCTTTCAAGTTTTCTTAACACAGCCATACTCATCTTCTTGGGCACTGATTTACTACTACTGGCTATAATGGTTATGGATCTCTCTGTGGCCATATGTCATCCTTTGCACTCTCAAATTCCTTGTGTTCATCTAGCAAAAATAGGCATGTGGGCGAAATGCATATTTAGATATCTGAAAATAATTCAAAGGGAGAAAAATATTACTTCAGGTTTAAAGTTTGAATATTTCTATTAGCAATTAATATTTTGAAACGGGGGAGTAGAAAATCATAACAGATGCCCTACTTCCACTTTATATATGAAGTTCCATAGCATGTTGCAAGAGAGGAGGGGAGAGATATAGTAGCCCAGAGTCACCTCCTTAACTAAAGTCTGGTCTAAATATTTTGAATCCTAGTCTAAATTTGTAAAACTGGAACAACTGTTTACATCAGTGGTCGCCAACCAGTGGGCCAGGGACCACTAGTAGTCTGTGAGAAAATTTTGGTGGTCTGCAGAGAAATATCACCCACAAAACACTCCCAAAGAAATTAATTCAGGCTGCATGGGAACACAAGGCTGTGCCACCCACATGGCCTGCAGGAATACAAGGCTTGCATTGCTTACATTGTAAACATGAGGTAGTGTGGGGAGCAGTGGTGGAATTCAAAAATGATACTTGCAGCATCCATGGGGAATCCTTGGAGAAGTTTTTAAAAGACCTGCTTCCAAAATGCATTTCTTTTACATTGCAAAAGTGCTCCAAGGCTCGATTCACCCCCTTTGTCAGACCAAACTCTTTCTCACTCCAGACACTTTACTCACACAGGGAAAGTGATACTTGCAGCATCCATGCCTTTCTTCCTTTTCCCTGGGGAGAAAGAGGATGTGGGCAACGGAAAGCTAAGAGAGCAATCGCAAGTGAACGACCAGGCGACTGGGTTGGGGCATGGCCAGACAGAAATTGCCACCGGTTCGGTGACCCATGCCAAATAACCGCTACCGGTTTGCCTGAATAGGTGCGAACCAGTTGAATAGCACCTCTAGAGGGGAGTGAGGAAAGGACAGAGGCAGGGAACTTGCCGCACTCAACCCACGCACCTGACCTGGCCACTGGGCTGCTTCTTTCTTCTTCTGCTTTTGGCTGCACACAAGCACAGCAGTAGACTAGCCCCAAATTTAAAACTGAAACAACTATAAAAGTCTGACTCATAGACAAACACAATACAGAAGCCTGATGATGGCAGATGAGATTCT